CGGAGACGTCCTTAGCAGAGTTTTACAAGCCAATGAGACAAAGAGACTGCTGTGCGTAAAGGAGTGCGTGCGCGTAATGGCACCCGGTGTTTGGACAAAGGCACTGGTTACATAAGACTTTACTGGAGTGCTGTTTTTAAAGAGGGTTTCGTGCTTTAACGATATAATGTGTGCGTAAAAGTCTTTAAATGAGGCAGCGGCGCGTGCGTAAAAGTCTTTGGTTCGATCGCGGCTGAAAAGCGGCCAAAACACAGACACTAACTTTAGACTCGACGATGGTTTCTGGGAGTCCTCGCGGAAAACACGGTCCAGACTCGGACATAAATAATTTCATATTTAGCTGTTGCTGCGCCTCCTCTCACAGAGCCATAAAACCCTCTCTCTGCGCTTCATCCGCGGATCACCTTTTCGTGTTTTTTATATCCAACTTATTAATATTTTTAAGTTATGCCTTTTATTCTATTTTAAGGCGTCCTTGAGCGTCTTTAAAAGCGCCCTTAAAAATGAGTTATTATTATTATTATTACACAAATGTCTTTTCTTCCACACTTTCTATTGAAACATTACTTTTAATTAAGCACAATTTTGGGAGAAGTCATCAACGTTCCGCGGTATCTGTTCTTCTTCCAGATTAACTAAAGACTTGGTTATTATTCAAGTAATTATTTTTGAGAATTAAATTTAGCTTTAGCACTTTATCTGTCTCCATCTCAGGTCATTTTGATTCTGATTCATGTGATTTTTGTGTTCAGGTCCATCTACAATTCTGTACATTTTTACCGTGGGTTTAAAACGTGAAAGTTGTCAACAAACTGCTAATTTATAATAATCATTTAATACTAAATAAATGTTTTCTTCGGTCCATTTTGTTTTGTACTTTCTGAACAGTCTTCGTGAAAATGTGAGACAGGCTTCTTCTCTGACCATGTTTAAATCCAGGATAAAAACATAGATCGTTTCTTTTGTTCTATGATTGTTTATGATTTTAATGTCAAGTGCTTAAATATGTATTGTGTTGTTCAGCACTTTGAAGTATTTTAATTCCGTATAAGCACTTTACGTACTCATTACTTGTTTAGCTCGTGGTGTAAACCCGCCCACACATTCTACACACGCTGCATTCTTAGCACTTTGATCGTGTTTTAATTATTGTTTTTAGCACTTTAAACATAACGTGGACAGCTGTAAACATGCAACATATATTTCAGCAGCATTCTTTCCCTTTTCACTCATGCAATCTTTAAAATACACCACATAGCACTTTAACTTGTGTAACTTATTTAGCACTTTTTTGTTAAATAACCTTTTGCTACGAACACACACTCTGCACTAAACTTAGCACTTTAATACGCTTAAAACTCACTGAATACTTTTTATGGTGCTGCAGTAAACTTGCAACTTATATTTGATCGATATTCTAATTCTTCCAAATACACCACATTAAGCTTCTAGCACTTTGAAGCACTTTAGACACTTTCATCGGAACTTTTACTTATTTTCTTATTTTTTACGTAACTGAATCTTTACCACTTTACGCTGTTTCCACCACTGCCTTCTACTAGATTACTCAACTTTGCACTTTAGCCATTTTTTTAAGTACTTCGAGTAGCACTTTTTACGAACGCATTATTTTTAAGGCACAATGTTGGTAGTAATCGCTATAAAAATATATATATTATTGTTAAAACACGTATTCTATAATCTCCAAAAGTGCCTTCTTAAAAAAAAACACTACACTGAGCACTTTGTTGATGTTCTAAGTACTTTAATTAGCGGTTTATACACGATTTAACTTTTAATAATGTGTTTTTTCAACAATAAATATGCAACTACTGTCCTATGTGTTTCTTTCTGACGCTAAAGTTAGAGATTGTATTTTATTTTAGAGTTATTTTTCCTTTATCTTTCTGTAACTGCGGATGCAACACTGACATTTCCCCGCAGTGGGACATGTCTCTCTTCATCTCAAACTTAAACCACAACAAACTTCCACAAATGCTTTTCTCTTCGTGCGCGCGCAGCTCTGGCCTCGCGACGTCCTCTGTCTGTGACGCGCGGCCCTCGGCTCTGACCGCGGCTGCTGCACTTCAGGGCCCGGGTCAATGGGACGCTGGGCGGGACATGACAGCAGCCAACTCCCCGTGAACCCGGAGCAGGAGGTGAGGGCTGGGGGTCCTGGGAGGTGAGGGTGGGGGCCCCAACTGCAGCTCTTTGTTCAGCTTTTACAGCCTGACATAAAACGCGCTTTACGACAGCTGCTGTTTCCTGCCCCCAGAACAAGAAAGTGCATTTTCTTGGGGCTAAAAACGGACAAAAACGTTTGAGGCTTAGTTTGATAATGTTGTGTGGAAGCGAGAGGAAGACACCGTGAGTTTTAAGAAGAGTTTGTTGTGTTTATACTGCAGAGACTTGGTTTTATCTCTGGTCTCTATTTGCTCTTTCTCTTTCTTTCTGGTATCGGATTTCTCCATTGTGAGATCAAAAAAGTATATCATCTTCTCTCTGGTCTCTCTCTCTCTCTGGTCTTTCTCTCCCTGGTCTCTCTCTGATCTCTCTCTCTGGTCCCTCTCTCTGGTCTCTCTCTCTGGTCTCCAACTGGTCTCTCTCTCTGGTCTCTCTCTCTCTCTCTCTTGTCTCTCTCTGGTCTCTCTCTCTCCCTTGTCTCTCTCTCTCTCTCTCTCTCTCTCTCTGATCTCTCTCTCTCTCTCTGATCTCTCTCTCTCTCCCTGGTCTCTCTCTCTCTCTCTCTCTCTCTGGTCTCTGTCTCTCCCTGGTCCCTCTCTCTCTCTCTCTCGCTCTCTCTCTCTCTCTCTGGTCTCTCTCTCCCCCTGGTCTCTCTCTTTCTGGTCTCTCTCTCTCCCTTGTCTCTCTCTCTCTCTCTCTCTCTCTCTCTGATCTCTCTCTCCGGTCTCTCTCCCTGGTCTCTTTCCTGTCTCTCTCTCTCTCTCTTTGGTCTCTCTCCCTGCTCTGTCTCTGGTCTCTCTCTCTCTCTCTCTCTCTCTCTCTCTCTCTGATCTCTCTCTCTCTCCTTCTCTCTGATCCCTCTCTCTATGGTCTCTTTCTGGTCTCTCTCTCTCTCTCTCTGGTCTCTCTCTATCTCTGATCCCTCTCTCTCTGGTCTCTCTCTCTCTGGTCTCTCTCTCCATGGTCTCTCTCTCTCTCTCTCTCTCTCTGATCCCTCTCTCTCTGGTCTCTCTTTGGTCTCTCTCTCTCTCTCTCTGATCTCTCTCTCTCTGGTCTCTCTCTCCCTGGTATCTCTCTCTCTCTCTCTGATCTCTCTCTCTCTCTGGTCTCTCTCTCCCTGATCTCTCTCTGGTCCCTCTCTCTGGTCTCTCTCTCTCTGATCCCTCTCTCCCTGGTCTCTCTCTGGTCCCTCTCTCTGGTCTCTCTCTCTCTGGTCTCTCTCTCCCTGGTCTCTCTCTCTCTCTCTCTCTCTGATCCCTCTCTCCCTGGTCTCTCTCTGGTCTCTCTCTCTGATCTCTCTCTCTCTGGTCTCTCTCTCTCCGATCCCTCTCTCCCTGGTCTCTCTCTGGTCTCTCTCTCTCTGATCCCTCTCTCCCTGGTCTCTCTCTCTCTCTCTGGTCTCTCTCTCCCTGGTCTCTCTCTCTGGTCTCTCTCTGGTCTGGTCTCTCTCTCTCTGGTCTCTCTCTCCCTGGTCTCTCTCTCTGGTCTCTCTCTGGTCTCTCTCTCCCTGGTCTCTCTCTCTGGTCTCTCTCTGATCTCTCTCTCTCTCTGATCTCTCTCTCCCTGGTCTCTCTCTCTCTCTCTCTCTCTATCTCTCTCTTTCTGATCCCGCTCTCTCTGGTCTCTCTCTCTGGTCTCTCTCTGGTCTCTCTCTCTGGTCTCTCTCTGAGTTTGAATCCAGAATAACTAGTTTCTCCATTGCATGTCTGTTCTAGTCCGTCTCAGAATCAAAGAGTGAAAGAACCAGATGTGAAAGTTTCTGATTATCTGCAGGTATTTAAAGAATGGATTTGTTTTTTTGCTAAATCAGAGATGTCCGTTTAAAAAAAATATGGCCAAAGATTTCCGTCCCACTTGTGTATAAGCCGCACCACCAAGAATAAAAAAGAAAATCTGTGTTGTCCATATACAAGCCGCACCTGAATATAAGCCGCAGGTTTTCATGTTTAATGTAGCAGGACTCATTCACTGTTAGCTCCCATGGCTCATTTATGTTAGCTTCCAGGATAATTTCACTGTTAGCATTTATGGCTCATTCATCATTAGCTTCCATGACTGTACTTATTGACCCTCATCTAGTTTGACAATTGCCTGTAGCTACAAAAACTATATGGAGTCAACACAAGTCCATAAACAAGTATTAGCCGCTAAATGCTAACGAAGCCGCAGGGATCAAAGAACTAGAAAAAAGTAGCTGCTTATAGTCCGGGAGCCCGGTGGGTACAGTGGCTAGTTCAGAAAAAAGTGTTATGTGACGTACGTGGTCGAAACGTGTCCCACAAAGCCACTGTTCAATTAAAGGATTTCTCTTTACTGACTTTAGTGCAGGGGTGTCCAAACATTATTGCATTATTGCCCCTTTATTTCACCAAAGTTATCCCCGGGGCCAAAAACACGGATTGACTGTATTTGCGCTGTTTACTCATACACATATCCGTCATACAATAAAAAGTACAACTTTACAGTAACTCTGTAGCTGATATTGTGAACTTAAAACTATACTTTGGGTGAGCACGGCACAGGACCACATAACATGACAGGGAGGGCCGCAACTGGCTCGCGGGCCATAGTCATGGATCTATGATAATAACTGGATAGAGTATTACTAGCTTAGAGCTGTCCCAGCCATGGGCACAGGGGGCGCCCGTGGTTCTGAAGACTACATTCACGAGGGCTACTTGAGAACCTGACAGAGAACCTACAGCTGTCAGAAAGATTGGATTTTAGTGTCCCTTGTCGTCCTGAACTTTTTTTCTTCTTAAATCCTTCTGTTTTCTTTAAATCCACACTTTACTGCCACAAACTCTGCTCCTTTCCTATGGCACCGGGGCTTGGCCATAGTTTGGACATTTCCGATTTCCTCTTTTCTCAAACGTTACAGTTGTGTCCCCGCCGATCCCGAAGTGCACCGTAACAAACATGGACTGAAACGCTTTGCTGCGAATCGCTTTCCACTTACTTTGATCCAGCGCGTCCTTCTCCTCCGCCATGTCATCGCACACGTCCTCCGCCCCGGCGCCCGCGGCCCCCACCACCGGCGCGTCTCCGTAGGGGCCCTCGAACACCGCCTTGTCGGCCGCGCCCAGGCTCAGCAGCTGCGTGGGGGCCTCCAGCTTCACTTGGCTCTGCGGGCTCTGCTGCTGGTGCGGCTGCAGGCCCGGGTCCAGCCAGGAGCGCAGGTACCGGGACTCGGCGTGCTGCGAGGGGAGGTACGGGTGGTACACGTTGGCATGGTGATGGTGGTGGTGGTGGTGGTTAAAGGGGCTCCAGGACGCGCTGAACACCGGCGGTTTGGGCTGGAAGCTGCAGGAGGGGTACGTGTCCAGTAAGTGGTCCGTGCACTGCCAAAAAAAAAAGTTTGAAAATGTAGATTCAGATTCAGTTATTTGACATTTGCAGTAAAACCACATTGGAATAGACCCGCAAAAGTCCCCAGTGTGAACCAGACGAGTACAATTGTTACTGTGAAATGGATCAGACTAAAACAGTTTTGATACAAAGGAAAGATCGTTAAAGTGCTCTGTTTAAACTGATAACAGCTGTTAGCATGTTAGCATGTCCTGCATCTCAGCGAACGATATCTTCTGCCAGAGGGAAGAAGCTGGAACATGGCTTTTCCAGGGGCCAGAAGAGTCACTGATTCGAACCATATCCGCTCAGCCACTGTGTCACCATGACGACATACAGGTTTGAGAGTCAGGTACTTGAGCTTTTAGTAGCCAGAACAGTTATCACTTCAGGATCATGGAACTCTAGAGTAAAACGCAGAATACTTGGATTAAAGCTTGGTTATGTAACTTTCTTTTCATAAATACCACACATTCTTGCCCTAACTGAAAGAGTCTCGTAAAAGTTACCCATGTGATCTTTAGTGTGATAAAGAGTGTGTGTTTATGTACTGATAGAGCTGCTTTGAGAGTGAGAAACAATGGATTTTAAGACATGGTTCATTTTTGGTGGCTTTGAAAGTTAGGTACCCCAGCTTTAAAGGACTAGAGAACGCTCTCAGTCACAGTGGAACTTTAGCGTAAAAACATAAGACAGTTCTGGGTCCTTTGAAAACAGAATTGTGTGATCTAATCTGAGCGAGATGTTATTTTTGAACAGGTTTTTAGACTCTTAGTTCCAATTGATCTAAAGTCGCCACATGTGTCACAGAAACCTCATGACGCCTGATCTTCAATGTGTCTAAACTCAAAGGAGAAATACTTTTGATGCTCTTGAAGTAGCTGTAACATCTGTGCGTTAAATATTTATGCATGTAATTACTATTGTTTAGTGCACGGGTCTCCAACCTGTAGCTTGGGAGCCAGCAGTAGCTCTCCACCCGCCTTCCAGGTAGCTCTCCAAAAGGATTTAGAAATGAACAAATCAAATAACATACTTAATATTTCAGTATTTGTATCATTCATTACCATTATTTGTTATCGTAAAAGCACTTTGTCACTAGTAACAAATATGTGATAAAAATATAAAATAATCTATGATAAATAATGGCTGTACAATATCAGGCTGTTTAAAGGAGTAGCTCTCTGTCTTTATCGTCTCTGGAAAGTAGCTCTCTGTGTGACAAAGGTTGGAGACACCTGGTTTAGTGATTTTCAGAGTCATGTATTTATGGATGTGGGTCTGGATGGATCTGTTTCTGCTCCTGGACTCCTGCATTTCTCTTTTGGGATCAATAAAGTATCTGTCTATATCAGGGGTGTCCAAACATTTTAGTAAGAGGCCACTTTAGTTCATCAGACTATTCCATGGCACGACATCACGGACTGAAAAACTGTCCTGACTGGTATCGGGCTGTTCTGAGATTTATGATGATCTATAACAGAACTAGCCTGGTCGCACCACACCATAGTACTAATTACATTTCATACTAAGGTCTGGATTTGCTCCATTGACTCCGTTAACAGGTGGGAGGGGCTAACTCCTTTTGCAGATTGAAACCATTGGATCTGAGTTTACCGTGACGTATGTAATGAGCCCGAGTGAGTCGTTAGCATTTAGAATTTAGCCTAGCTTTAGCCATCTCCTTTGCCGCTAACGGAGCCCGTGGGGAGTAACGCCACAATCTTTGCAGCGATTAAATTTGCTTCTCCGGCTTCAATTTCTTGATAGAACCAGACCGGATTACTTTACTTTCGCATTCTTCGCCATTACCAAACTACGACCTTCCCGTTCGGCGCAAACTCTTGACGTCACCCACATCTAACTACAACACCCGCCTCCCGCGCTCTCTGATTGGTCGGATGGAATTCAACCGATTGTAATCGCAAACACAGGGATCAGACCCAGACGTTACATGCAGGACGTGATGATTAATCGGAGAGTACGGATGGATAAGGCCAGGCTATAACAGAGCTGAAGTTGGATGGATGACTTCATATACAAAGACTACTGTGGGTTAGCGAGGCAGAGGGCCACGTACAATGACAATGAGGACCGCAATTGGCCCCTGGGCCTGAGTTTGGACGTACCTGATCTATGTCCAGCTGTCTTTCTGTCTGTTTACTTTTTTACATTACAACTTCCTACTGTAGGTTTTAAATGGCTGCATATGGTAATAACATTCAAAAAAAATGAAACCACTTTCACTATTTAACAGAATAATTAACTGTTAATTGTTAAGATAATGTCAATATCATGTTGTTAAAATAATAAGAATTTTTTGTTTGTAATCTTGTCAATTTTCGTTCAAACTCCCACATGTATAAAGTATGATCAGATCTAGTGTGAGATGTTCTGTACTTAACTCGACTAACTCTTAAAAATAAACTTTCAGATGATGTATAACGAGCCATTGTCGCCGTCATGGTCCTGGCTCCGAAGCTCTGTGGTTTGTGACTCTCTTTACCAGTAGCGTTGTCCCTGTGCTCTCATGTGTTGTACCTTTCTTTTGCATTTGCTGAATACATACAGAGAAAGATTGAACATATATAAAAACATGTTTCCGATGGATTCAGTTTTTGACTAAAGACAAAAGAATTTTAACAGAAACAGACATGAGAAGCTTCACTCGTCCCACAGCGGGAAATGTCAGGGTTGCAGCGCACTAACCGGACAGAGAGTATACTCAGATACTCTGAATGCAGTAAGTATATATCACTTTGTAGACATAGAGATGGATAGATACATAGATATAGATCGACATATAGACAGATAGATAGACAGACAGGTGGTAAGACGGATAATATTTATATAGATATAGATACATAGACAGAGATGGATAGATACATACTGTAGATATAGATAGACAGACAGATAGATAGATAGATAGATTGGGCGACAGTAGCTTAGTTGGTAGAGCCCTTTGGACCTAATGGTTGTGGGTTCGAGCCCACCACGACCCATATCACCTGCTCCCACTAATGTCTGCTCTCGTTGTGTCTCTGGGCAAGACACTTAACCCCACATTGCCCGAAGCCCCCGCTGAAACACCAAGGCAATGTCTTCAATGAGAAGCCATGTTCCCGTGGACCCACCACCTGCAGGAGGATCAGCGAGGACTGGTGCTATGGGACTTGGGTAGCACCTCCCCCCCCCTACCCCCGACCCAGAAATGGACTAATAAAGGGGCAGACGATGACATAGACAGACAGACAGATACATAGACAGACAGACAGATACATAGACAGACAGACACATACATAGACAGACAGACAGATACATAGACAGACAGACAGATACATAGACAGACAGACAGATACATAGACAGACAGACACATAGACAGACAGACAGATACATAGACAGACAAACAGATACATAGACAGACAGACAGATACATAGACAGACAGACAGATACATAAACAGACAGACAGATACATAGACAGACAGACAGATACATAGACAGACAGACAGATACATAGACAGACAGACAGATACATAGACAGACAGACAGATACATAGACAGACACACAGATACATAGACAGACAGACAGATACATAGACAGACAGACAGATACATAGACAGACAGACAGATACACAGACAGACAGACAGATACACAGACAGACAGACAGATACATAGACAGACAGACAGATACCTAGACAGACAGACAGATACATAGACAGACAGACAGATACATAGACAGACAAACAGATACATAGACAGACAAACAGATACATAGACAGACAGACAGATACATATACAGACAGACAGATACATAGACAGACAGACAGATACATAGACAGACAGACTGATATATAGACAGACAGATTGATACATAGACAGACAGACAGATACATAGACAGACAGACAGATACATATACAGACAGACAGATACATAGACAGACAGACTGATATATAGACAGACAGATTGATACATAGACAGACAGACAGATACATAGACAGACAGATACATAGACAGACAGACAGATACATAGACAGACAGACAGATACATAGACAGACAGATACATAGACAGACAGACAGATGCAGAGACAGACACACAGATACATAGACAGACAGACAGATACATAGACAGACAGACAGATACATAGACAGACAGACAGATACATAGACAGACAGACAGATACATAGACAGACAAACAGATACATAGACAGACAGACAGATACATAGACAAACAGACAGATACATAGACAGACAGACAGACAGATTGATACATAGACAGACAGACAGATACATAGAGACAGACAGATACATAGACAGACAGACTGATACATAGACAGACAGACAGATACATAGACAGACAGACAGATACATAGACAGACAGACAGATACATAGACAGACAGACACATACATAGACAGACAGACAGATACATAGACAGACAGACAGATACATAGACAGACAGACAGATACATAGACAGACAGACACATAGACAGACAGACAGATACATAGACAGACAAACAGATACATAGACAGACAGACAGATACATAGACAGACAGACAGATACATAAACAGACAGACAGATACATAGACAGACAGACAGATACATAGACAGACAGACAGATACATAGACAGACAGACAGATACATAGACAGACAGACAGATACATAGACAGACACACAGATACATAGACAGACAGACAGATACATAGACAGACAGACAGATACATAGACAGACAGACAGATACACAGACAGACAGACAGATACACAGACAGATACATAGACAGACAGACAGATACCTAGACAGACAGACAGATACATAGACAGACAAACAGATACATAGACAGACAAACAGATACATAGACAGACAGACAGATACATATACAGACAGACAGATACATAGACAGACAGACAGATACATAGACAGACAGACTGATATATAGACAGACAGATTGATACATAGACAGACAGACAGATACATAGACAGACAG